TAGTGAGGAGGGGTAAAAAGTTCCTGAATAAGACACTGAGAACATCTAGATTTGACATTTTCTCTCTTTTTGATTTCCCAACTTACAGAATGAACTGTAAATTAAAGAATAAATCCATAGGAAAAAAAAAGAGGTCTTACAAACTTAGTTCACAATTCCAGCTACAGTAGTTGGAGTTTTTATTTGATCTATGTATTTCTATTTACCCTGTAACTAAGCTTCTAGCCGTCTTAAGTGTAAACCACGATCATTTACTAAAGAATGAAATACTCAAGAATTCTATGAGCAGTAATAAATGGGCTAAAAGATGTTCTACATTTTGAGGCTGCAGGATACCATTTTATTTTATATATCTGCAAGGTAGCAAAGAATAGCTATACACCTTGACACGGCAGAGATCCAGTGTAAAAAGGTGCTTCACTAGTTTGTTTTTCACCAAAAAAAAAAAAAAAAAAAAAAAAAAGCTTGTATATAATTTTATAGCTATTAAAACACATAGGAAACATAATTCATTACACTCAATACAGCTTTAGTATAAAACTTATAATTTATGAGGTGATGTTAATAGCATAAATTAATATACCTTTTTCTCTTAAAATCTACAATAAGTATTCTGAAAGCTCATTGGGGAAGGGAACTTTTAAATAAAACTTTTAAAGCTGAGCGTGATGGAAAAATATTCTGTATGCTGAAATTGAGATGAGAGCTCCAAGGAGAAAGAAAGAGTCCCTAGGCAAAACACTGTGGACTACAAAACTCAGTGTGTTTTCTCTTTCTTGCGCTCTCTGTGATGATATTCTACCTTTATTTTCTTTTAAAACTACTTAGTTTTTTTATTTTTTATTAAATTGCCCTTATTTCCACAAGGAATCCCTGAGACATACTCAAACTGTACAGTGAAAATAATCATCACTGTTCAGAGGAACTGGTTCAACCCATCCAAGCAGATGAAGATACTATCCACAAGTATCAAACTTTCCATCATTGCAGCATTGATCCATTGGAACCAACTGTACCTTAATGCTGAAGATTGGAGTCATTTCAGGGCAAATCAGTCTACTCCCAAAGTAAAAGCATTGGTGTGGCATTTAGCTGCATTGAAGCCTTCTGCACTGCAGTTGAAAATTTTCCATGGGGAACTCTGGGTGCATATAGAGCTTACTTCAGTGGTCCCCAGCTTTAAAAAAAAAAAAAGTGAAAGATGTTTCTATTACTCAGACCAGAATAAGGTATAGCTCATACACTATGTGTATGTGTTTCATTACTGAGAAGTGGGCAGAGGCAAGTAGGCAGAAGGGAAAGAAAAGAACTGTGCTGTCTTAAATAGATTATATATAGATTTCTAAGTTTTTCTCATATAGATTTTTCTATAGACTAAACTCTAGAAAAGCAAAAAAAGTGTTAGACAAACTAGCCAAAATCCCTCAGCAATAGAAGATGACGGATAAAAAGGAAATGCTGTCATATTCTCCCTCCAAACTGCCATGTAGAATATATTTCCTTCTACCAGATACAAGACATAATAACACCTTATCATTAACACCAAGGTACTGAGAGATCTAAAGCAGGTGATACCACAAAAAGTAAAAGCAGTGAGGAAAGCCAACAACCAAAAACAGAGTGAAAATGTTTGTTGTTTAGAAAAAAACTCCCTGAAGTTGATTCACAGTCAGCATTTACTGACATAGCAACTGGCAATAAGGAGAAGAATCCATATTGCCATGTGCTTCTGGTATTTTTCCCTAAGTAAATGTTTAGAGGAAAAACAATAGAGCCACATGAACAAACTCAGCTCCTTTCTAGTATGCCAGTAAAAATCATCCACTGAGAGCTATTCTTTCTAACATACTCAGTTATTTTTAACATGGATTTTCTCTTGGCCATGTTTTAAATCACGAGTTTGAATCTCATAAAATGTTACCCTATTAAGAAGAAATGTTTAAATGGTTCTACTTCTATGAAGACTGACAGAGAGAAGGATAATTGCTTCCAAATTGAAATAAAACATCTACTCAATTTCTGAGTTGTCATATGTACATAGTATGTGTGTATATATACATACACATCTGTATATATGTATGTATATACACACACACCCCTACATACATATGAATGAAAACATTTAATGTGATAGCTTTTTCTTTCAGTCAGGAGAAAATTACTCCAAAAAGAATATACCGTCTGTCAGACATTCAATATAAATGTTTGGTATAGGGAAGCCTTTCCACTTAATCACAACTACTTAAAAAATTTGAAGTGATTTCAAAAGAATCTATCTGCATCATTCTGACTATCCTAAAACCCCAACCTGTGGGCCTGAAGGGCCACTGAGAAGGAGCAGACACACAAGAAACTTGTCGAATGTGACTAGATTTTCTTTTAAGGTATCCTTAGAAATGTTCCACAAAACCCCAGGTTCTGTAAGCCACATTTAGAAAAGGACTGCATTTAAGGCCTTAAAATACACCAGATTCAAAACTTTTGGCATACTTCATTCACAAAGGAAGGGGCAACAGCTAGAGAGGAACAGGAGGAAGAAAACAGATTACAAACATTAAAAATTAAAAGAAAAAAAACAATTTAAATGGATAACAATTAGTGTTGTAAATCTTCCTACCTGTCCTTTTTGCAAGCACTTTACACACATTTTACTCAAAATTGGTAGAAACACTTATTCCTGCCATCACTAATACTCTCTCTTAAATGCTGTTCAAGATCTCAGAAAGGATGAGAGGGATGTTTCTAATAATAAAATATCTACGATTTCAAAATTACTACGACTATAATTTCTTATACAAATGTGCCCAAAGCTTATAGTTCCAATTTACATGGCTGGTTGGTCCAAGTCACCAGTAAGATAAATTCTTTGATATAAGCAATTATTCAAGAGGGAAACTGAACTGAAGGGACACCAATATGCAGCAAATATTTAATTTTCTTACCTTTTAATGAATAAAACTTCTCTCTATGGATTAATGTAATCATAGGCTGAAAATGAGCTTGAGTTTAGTGTCATTAAAGAAAACAATACTGATCATTCTGAACTTTGTAGTTCGCGATTCATTGAGCTTTTAAGTATGCAGTCAACTACATAAACACTTCTTTTGAAGAAATAAATTGCCTACTGAATCATTGGGTGAAGAAAAAAGCTGTTAGCTTTCTTTAGACTTAAAACTACAAGCTATACCACCACCAAAAACAAAATAAAACAAACAAACAAAAAACACACACAACACTTCTTACTTGATCTCCATATCCACTACCTTTTTTTTTCTTCAATAAATTATAATTTTCTCATGGAGGGGCATTTTATACATATGCCACATTGCCTGCCAACATGAAATTGCTCAGAAAAGTTATTTACAAGCAATTTTCCCACATGTGGTAGGTTACTCAAGAAAATAATCCTTCACTATATAACCTACAGAACAAATATTAGAAAATCCTTCCATTGCATAGTCTGTTACTTGGTGGGTTAAGTGTAACCGCCATTCATTATTGTGAACAACTGTATACTAGCTACATAACCTACCCAGATGTGCAAAATGCTAAGCCAATTCCACAGAGGAAATGAAATAGTATTTTAACTCAAATAATAATAATTATTGTGTAGGGGTAATAAAGGAGAGAAAATACAACTTTTCTTCAGATGCTAAATTAGATTAGTAATCTAATACACCAGCAAAAGATAGCATACATTGAAATGATGATTCTGACTCCTACAGCATAGGATACTTCCATTAACTGCAGCAACTCTGTAAACGAAATCAGTATTAACTGTACCTAACTGGCCTTTACATATGGTCCCAAACCACTGCAGAAACAAAGTGACTTTTCTTGTGTCATGGTATTATTTTACTATGCATTGTGTACCTCGGTCTAAAATACCAGCAATTTTCCACCCGAAGAGGACCATATTCCTAATGCAAGATTTGCTTTTGATGCCAGTATTACCTCTAAACATTCCATAGAAGTAGCTAATTTTTAGATTTTCAGAATGAAAAAAAAAAAAGCTTTACTCCATTGTTTTCATATAAATAAATATATCTACCAAGAGATTAAAATTGCTACACTGACTCTTTGGCAAGAGGGTAATTGTTCTAACCTCTTGGTATTATAGAAATGTACTTCTCTTTTCAACCAAGGGAACAATCCAGGCAAATGGCAAGAGCAAATCAAATCAAAAGCTATGCAATCTTTCAACTGGGTGAGATGTGAGGAAAAGGAGTACTTGCACTATCTTCAACCCTGCACCAGTGCTTTCTAAAGGCGTTCTTCCCTCTGGCCTCAGCACAGGGGACTCCATGAACACTAATTTACTCAAAGTTTTTGGTGTGAAGCTATAACTGGCAACATTCCTGATCATTGCGTGCCTCCTTACTAGAAAGCAGAAAAGGGCTTTTCAATGCACACAAAACAGAAAACTGCAAACAACATAATGTGCAACTTACTACAAGTTTTGTTAACTGAAGAGTTTTAAGCAGCCAATGCACAGGACAAAGAGCCAGGATAGATAAAATTCCAATCTATGATTACCATGATTATGAATTTCCCTTTGCTCAAAAAGGAGAGGCGATGAGGAAGACATATTATTTTGCAATAAGCTTTAATTAGTACATAATGGGAACTGAGTTAAATCTATGGGAATGGATGACAATTATCCAATGATACTTAAATCTGTACTAAAAATTGGAAAATAGTCCAGAAAACTAAATGACACTTTCTGAGCCAAGGTTAACTACCCATAATCATGCCAATACATACATTAAGGAGAGCTCACTAACATAAGGTTCACTGATGAAAAATTGTCAAATTATCTGTCTTCCTCACCACTGCAGAATAAATTTATGGTAAGAAATCTTGCTTCATAACATAATTTATAATTCAGAAACTTCTCAAGCTGAAGAAAAGACAAAGCTATTCAAAAAATAAATCTTCCAACCAACTTTTCATGATTAAAAAAATTAAATACATTACAAACATTTTTTTTTTTGGCCCTTAAAAGTAAAAGAGTTTAATAAATACTTGTTTTAAAAGTAGGGCATACAAGGATTAAAGACAGTCATGACATTTCCCCTCCATAAGCTCAGGCACATGGTTTCAGCACAGTACATGCTGATCGCTGCCATTCCTTTAAAAAGCAAAGAAAAGAAGCTTTCAAAAGAAGGGAGTGGCTAAAACTAGCATGGCATAAAGAGATACATACATGAAGTAGGAAAATATAACCAAAACTTCACTCATTTGGAAGGAATTAAATTCAAATATTCCCTGACTCAAAGGAACCTATTGTCCCACCTCACTAAAGGTTATGTTCTACCTGGGTTGTTTTTCTTTAAATATATAAATTAGGCTAGATTCAGTAATAAACAGCCAATAACCTATCTCATGGGATAGTGAAACCTCTCTGCAAAAAAGCAGAAGCAGATTGCTTTTTAAATTTCTTTCATCACACATCTAAAAGACACAAAAGCAGGCAATAGAGAACCCTCATATGTAATTTTATAGTCATTAAATTACTAAATCACCCAGTATTTTAATCTTACTAATCATGAATAAATCTATAATTTTGGAAAATTTCCCAAAACCAATTTTGAACTTCCTTTGCAAAGAGAACACCACACAGGTCCAATTCTACTTACACTAACAAATCCAAATTTACTTGCACCTAAGTATTTAAATTATTTTAATAAAATTAGGAGGTAGGTGAATTTAAGAATAATTTCTAATTTCCGGGTTTGCTTTAACAAAAACTATCAGTGTACCCCTCAGGTAGTACAACTAATTAATAATTGGAACATTGATCTCATAAGCGTCTTCAACATTTTTACAACTCCTACTGAAAAGACACTACTAAGAAAATGAAAAAATTCTAAAGCAATAGATGGCTTAAGGAATTCATAGATTCCCAATTTTTTGAAATCCATTTGACTTATCCTGCTTTACACACCAAAATAATTTGTTCTGTTACTTCTGGCAAATAGATTTCATGAAAAGGATTTAAAAACAAATGCTAGCCTGACAAACGCTGCTAGGAGGCCACAGAAACCCTACAATAATTCTGGTCAGTTTTTCCTGGGACTATTAAGTCTCTCATTCCATTTACCAACCAAATTTTTCCTTTTACTTTTTTTCCCCTTGGGCTGCTAACGTTCAGAAGAAAAGGCTGCTGATTATAAAAGTGCAACTCATATGGCCAGGTCACTTCCCTCACTTAATCAATTCAAGTTAACACACAGTAGGAAAGAATGATGGATTTCAGTAAGGTTGGGAATTGGGAAAAAGGAGGAAAGTAAGCAAAAACAACCTTTTTTCCTTATTAGAAAAATATGGGACTGTTGCTTCCTGCCTATACATTCATACACACAAGCACACGTAGACAAACACACACAGAGGAGGTCAAAAGACATTTTTTTCTTCTTAAGCACTATCCTACTTAAGAATGGAACTCTAGCCTCAATGCAGTGTTTCAGCAGACTAGTGCTAAGTTAGAGGCCTCATCCACCTCTCCACACCATTAGCTATTTTCTTAAATGGGGACTCAGTAAATTAGCAATCTATCCAGAACCGCCTCTTATAAAATCTGGCAATGGGATGGAAAGTATTGATCTGAACCCTAGGAAGTAGTAAAGGGCACTGGTTATCTGAGGTATCTTCTCATTTCTCAGTCTCACTGCTAAAAATCAATGGCATCCAGTCACTGTGCTGAACCGCTAAGGAAAACGTGAGGGTAACGTGAACCTGTCAAGAGGAAAGGAGCACCGGTGGACAGAGCACACGTCAACACTGAAGCAAGGTTCACTTCAGGGGACCTGCCCAACTGCGAAGCCAGGCTTCCCGCTGGCCCCGACCTTATTTTTTAAAATGCTGAAGAAGGGGAAGCGGGAAGGGATGCCTAAAGAGGAAACTAAAGACAGAAAACACACGGTCCCCACCTGCCTGCAAACACACAGACACGCCGCTCAGTTAGGGGCGGTGAAGGGAGAAGATGAACTATTGGTACTTGTAGCAGTGGCACCTGTTACTGTGAAGCCTGTCGGAGGGGCTATCGAGCTGTGGCTGGGCTGCAGGTCCTTCGGAATGCCACTGTGAGAACTCAGCTGGTGGCCAAAGGCCGCACTGAACTGAGGGAGCTGCTGCTTAGGAGAGGTGGAGGCCATCAGGTCAGCAGAAGAAGGCCCCATGCCACTGAAGCTGGTCTGGGGTAACCCCGGAAGCACACTAGAGCTGTTTGGGGTCACAGTGGCGAAGGCAGGCTGTGTGGTCTCTGAGTTCGAGGTGGTAGGCGGTGTGGACAGGGAAGTGGAAAGGAGATGTCCATCTGCGCCGAGAAGGTTGCTAAACGGAGAAGGATCGCCAAGATTGACAGGGAGATTGCCCCAGTGAGTTCTGGGGTTCACCACTCCACCAAGGGGCACCTCGAGTTGGGTTGGGAGCAAGTGCTGTGCCATGATGGGCATTTCTGCTGAGAAGGTAGCTGCCATGTTATCACCAGAGAAGGTTGTGGCATGGGGAGAGGTGATATGATCGCTGTAGGGAGACGGCACATGCTCGCTGTCATAATGGCTTCCGTGGGGCGAGGAGTGTGAATGATCACTGCTATATTGCTGTCGTGAGGTGATTAGGTCATCTGCCTTGCTCAGCAGCTGGGCAGGGTGTGGCCTCTGGGAGGCATGGCTGCCATCATGAAGTCCATGAAACTGTCCTGGGAAGGCTCTCTCCCCAAGAGCACTCTGGCTTATCAGAGTAGCAGAAGTAAGGCCAACATTGGCTGGGGCAGAGAACTGCCCCTGGATCTGCCCTGCCAGGGGTGTAGGTGGGTTAGACAAGGTAGCAGAACGGAGCAAGTTCTCATCCAGCTCTAGGCTAGAGAAATTATCGTGCACTATGCGGCCATTCAACAGCTCCCCTAGGTCTGTGTTAACGTCTCGGCTCAAGGACTGAATTCCTGAAGCTCCGGGACCTGTGGAGAACACCCCCATGCCTCGCTCTGAAAGCTCCTGAACTGGCACACCGTCTGACTGGGTAAGTACTCCAATGGTACTCAGGCACTCGAGGGAAGTTACAGCCTGCAAAGCCCGTTCGAGTTCCTCCGCCTCTTCTGTTGTAGGAAGGAGGTCTCCATTCTTACCTAAGGAAACAAAAGTCACCAAAAGGATCAGCCCTCTCACCTGACATTGATGCAATACGTTTAAACTGCTGTAAACAGCAGTCTAATCAAAGAACTGGATGAAAGAAAATATTTCAATGAATTGGACTGGAAAGAGAAAAAATAAATATTAAATTGTGGAACACAACTCAGATTTCACACTGTCATAGCAACTGAATCACCAACAATTTTATACATGAGAATCTAGATCTCCAACTCATAAAACTGAACAATCAAATTACTCCATAGCAGTTCAAAACTCCCAACTGTTGACTTGCTCATGGGCTTTGCATAGACCTAGATTATATTAACATTATGAAACATAGCAAACATATCAAATAAGTTGAGCTTTGAGACAAAAAGTTCAGAAGACAAAGTCTACCCTTAGCTCCTCCACCTGGAGTGGTAGCTGTGAAAAACTAAACAAAGATTTATATTTCATGTCAAGACTTAGGTGTTTGGCTCATTTCACAGATCATCTTTTAAAATTCTTTTCTTTATTCTCAAACTCTCCCCTCTACTCTTCCATGTACTACCAAAATTTTCATAAAACAGAAGTCCATGAAACTATTTTGCTCTGCTTTCTGATATTACAAGGAATCTGACTTATCCTAAGGGGGAAGAAAGCTCCAATCCAAAAGGCTGACAGAAACATTCAAAAGGGCATGAAACCAATAACTAAAAAGTTAAATTTTGCAACGTCCAGGAACATTTCTAAAAAGAACAAAATTTCTGTGGGATAAACAAACATAATTTTTGAAATGTATACTTCAGCTAAGGTTGGGGTAATAAAGTTAGGACAGGTATTCATTTCTTTGAAGATCTATAACAAACCTTTTTTTAACATTTAAAATGACTAATTTCAAATGACACTTACAAGGGTACCTATAAAACAAATAATGAATCTACCAAAACAACACTACAGTCATGCAGACAACAAATACCACAACTTTTAAAGAGGGTGAAAACAGCTTTAGCATTTTGTAGTCTCTACCTAAAATGAGACACTATTATTTGATAAGAATGTTTCAACTATATCTCAAAAAGAAAAATCTGCTTCCTTCCTTTTCAACTCATTTTTGGAACTTGTTTCCTGAAAAATAAATAATCAAAACAAGGAATTAAAAATACCTTCAAAAAAATCAAAATCTTGTAAGTCATCGGGTAGCCGTGGCAAGACATCTGAAAAGTCCTCCTGATTCAATTCCAAGTCATGTGGAATGTCAGTGATCTCATTGGCAATGTCATCAGGCAGCTCGTCAGTACTCAGCTCCGGTGTGGAAGGACTCCTGGGAGAAGAGAGGAAACCGCATCTTTAATTAGTTTCCCTCAACTTCTTATGTTTGTTACTAAAACGGATTCATTCATCCTTAGAAAGTTTTCTATATTCATCACAAAAGTGGAAAATAATAATCTATTAATAAGTTTCATATTTTCCTATATGAATAGAAAACGTATGCGAAAGTAGACAATTCCTACAAGACAAGTAGGAAGACTGGCTTGACAGAAACTACCCTAACACTGTTCTAAAATGAGCAGTTCCATAAAACAAGATTCTGTTCAATGCTTATAAGCACTTGGCATACAGATAACAGATAACCTTTCCCAGATATTTATGACATATATTAAAAATTATATTAAATATGCCCATTTGAAAACTTTTACTGGCTATCATTTCAATTATTATTATTAAATTTGCAGTCAGAAAAATTTGGTCAAGAGAATTTCTTATATATAGAATAGGGATGTTAAAAGGAGGGATTTCCACCAGGCGCCCCCCATTTTTGTAAAAGAATAGAAAAAAAAAAGGAAAAACAAAAACTTTTCTTTCTCCTTTAGTCACTGAAAAAATGCATCTCAAAGAATAGTTTGTGAATTCAGCAATCATGCTGACTCTGGTATCCTCATCACTTCTACCCAAATTAATAATGTATAAGATTATATAATTTACTTGTTCAATGCCATACCAATCAAATTACCAAAAAATTACTTTATAGATTGAGAAAAAAATAACAAAATTCATCTGGAAGAACAAAAGGTTAAGACTATAAAGTGAATCAATGAAAAAAAACGTGAAGCAAGGAGGCCTAGCAGTATCAAATCACATTGCAAATGATCATCATCAAAACAATTTGGCACTGGATAAGAAATAGAGTGGTCAATCAGTGAGATAGAGCAGGTACATGATACACATGACTAAATGAGCACAGTAGTCTAGTATTTGATAAACCCACAGATCGCAGCTACTGGGATAAGGACTCACTATTTGACAAAAACTGCTGGGAAAACTGGAAAGTAGCACAGCAGAAACTAGGCACAGAACAACATTGATACCATATATCAAGATAAAGTCAAAATGGGCACAAAATTTATACATAAAGGGTGATAAGGGGAGCATGGAAGAAATTACCTATCAGATCTATGGATAGGGGAAGAGTTCATGACCAAACAGTAGATACAGGGGTTCATGGAAGGTAAAATGGATCATTTTAATTATATAAAATTTTAAAAGTTTTTGCACAAATAAAACCAATGCAGCCAAAATTAGAAGAAATGCAAGAAGGGGGGGGGGGGTGGCAGCTGCATCAAGTTTCTCTGATAAAGGTCTCATTTCTCAAATATATAGGGAACTGGGCCAAATTTATAAAAAGTAAGAACTACTCAACTTAGAAATGGTAAAAAATATGAAGAGGTAGTTTTCAGAGAAAGAAATCAAAAGCTATCAATATGAAAAACTGCTCCAAATTACTAATAATTTATATAGCTCTGAGGTATCACCTCATACCTATCAGACTGGCTAAGATGTCAGAAAAGAAAAATGATGAATGCTGGAGGGGATGTGGGAAAATAAGTACACTAATGCAGTGCTGCAGTTGTGAACTAGTTCAACCATTCTGTAGAACAATTTGAAATTATGCTCAAAGGACTATAAAACTTTTCTAGCCCAAAGGGCTATCAAACTGCATACTCTTTGATCCAGCAATACTACTACTATATCTACACTCCAAGGAGATCAAAGAAAAAGGAAAAAGACCCCACATAAAAAATATTTATAGCAACTCTACTTGTGGTGATAAAGAATTGGAAACTAAAGGGATGCCCATCAACCATGGAATGGTTGAACAAGTTAGGGTATATGAATGTGATGGATTATTATTGTGCTGTAAGAAATGAGGAAGGGGATGGTTTCAGTAAAACCTGGGAAGACTCGTATGAACTGATGCAAAGTGCAGTGAGAAGAACCAACAGAACAATCTACACAGTAATAGCAACATCATAAAAACAATCAACTGTGAAAGACTTAGCAACGCTGATCAATACAGTGATCCACCACAACTTCAAAGGACCTATGATGTAACATGCTATCCATCCCCAGATAGAGAACCTAGAGATTCAGGGTATAGATTGAAGCATATTTTTTCTTTCTTGTTTCTATTGCTTCCCCACTCTACCCAAAGCATGGCTAATGTGGAAATATTTTGCATGATTTCATATTATAAGGCATATAATATTTCTTGCCTTTTCAATGGGTGAGGAAGGGATTAGAGAGGAGAGAATTTGGAACAAAAAATATTTTTAAGAATACATATGATTTTTCATTATATACTTAGTTTATGATAATAATAGCTTATTCCCAAGTACTTTTTATAAATAATCTCATCTGCTCCTGATGACAACACTGTGAAGTGAGCAGGGAAAGAATCATACTTCTCATTTTAAATAGAAGAACAGGTCCATCAAACTTTAATGACTGAGCCAGAGTCACATAATTAAGAAAAGGAAGAGCCAAGACTTAACTCCAAGGCTCCTGGGCTCAGATGCAATGATTTTTTCACTATCTTGCCACACTACTCCCCAAAACCATAGCTGGTAAAACAGAAGAATTAGACACTACTCCCCAATTTTCCATTTTTGCACCTGTTCTCCTTACCTTAATAGAAAGTTTTGCTTTAGATCTACTATAACTAGGTGTCATATAGATATAATTAAGTATTGTAATGTTAGTAATTGAGGTTTTTCTCTTTTTAAAAAAAATTTATTCTGAACTTAAGAGATACAACAAGCATTTTCGTAACAGCAGAATAGAAAGAAAAAAGATAATTGCAATGAAACTGCAAATCTATTATGTACAATTTGCTATTCCTTTTAAATATATGCTAACTTTTTTTTTATAACTTTTTTTTCCCTTTCTTTCCTTCCATTCCCCCACTCTTGCTCTAGAGATGGCTACCATTAGACACAAATATGTATATATGTAAAATTATTCAATACACACTTCTATTTATCAGTTCTTTCTCTGGATGCATATGGCATTTTCATTCATAGATCCTTTGTAGTTAATTTGGGTATTTATAACAGCCAAAATGATTTAGTTACTCAAGGTTGTTCTTAAAACAATATTTCTGTGGGCAGCTAGGTGGCACAGTGGATAGAGCTCTGGCCTTGGAATCAGGAGGACCTGAGTTCAAATTCGGCCTCAGACGCTTGACATGTATTAGCTGTGTGACCCTAGGCAAATCACTTAACTCCAACTGCCTCACCAAAAAGCAACAAAAAAAAAATTTAAAAAACCAATATTGCTGTTACTGTACACAATGTTCTCTTCATTCTGCTCATTTCGCTCTTCATTATTTCATTTGAGTCTATCCATGTTTTTCTAATATAATCAAGCTCATTATTTCTTATAGTACAGTGGTATTCCATCAAAATCATACACCACAACTTGTTCAGCCATTCCCCAACTGACAGGCACCCCTGCAATTTCCAGTTCTTTGCCACTACAAAGAGAGCTACTGCAAATATTTTGGAACATACAGGTTCTTTTCGTTTTTCCATAATTATCTTTGGAAACAGACCTAACAGTGGTACTGCTAGATCAAAGGGTAAAGGCAGTTTAATAACTCTTTAGGCATAATTCCAGATTGTTCTCTAAAATGGATGGGATCAATTCACAATTACACCAACAATAAATTTAGTGTCCCAATTTTTCCACATCCCCTCCAACATTTGTTGCTTTTTTAGCCAATCTGATAGGTGCGAGATATGTCAAAGGTGTTTTAATTTGTATTTCTCTAATCAATAATGATTTTGAGAATTTTTATATGACTGTAAGTAATTTTCATTTTTTATCAGAAAACTGCCTGTTTATATCCTTTGACCATTTATTAATTGGGGAATGACTCATAATCTAATAGATTTGACAGTTCTTTATATATTTAAGGTATGAGACCTTTATCTGAGAAACTGTCTATAAAATTGTTTTCCCCAATGTTTTGCATTTGGCTACATTTGTTTTATTTGTACAAAACCTTTTTAATTCAATGTAATTGAAAATGTTCTTGGAAGAACTTAAAAAGGACTTCGAAAATCAAATAAGAGAGATTGAGGAAAATTTAGGGAAAAAAAATATAAGCAATCCAAGAAAATCAAGAAAATTATGAAAAGACAGTAATTGAGATTTAAGTAGCTGCAAAAACAAAGTGATCAGCTTTTCTCTTCCAGAATGGATTGCTCCAAAGGTACAGGTATTAGAATGATATGGATACTACGTTTTAGACCTAATTCCTTCCATCTCATCTAACCACATTCTTCCTCCTGCAAAGAGAAGTAAACACTCTAATAATGTAGGTAACTGACCGCATCTGGGAGATTTCCACTGGCAGTGAGACGCTGGTGGGCATGCTGAGGTTTCCTTGGGGCACTGCAGGGGGAATGGGTTTCTGCGGCCGACGTGGTCCACGCCTTCTTTTCTTCTTATGTTTTTTGGTAAGTGCAGGTGGCTTTGTTTTTTTCCTGGGTTTCCTCTGCTGCTGGTGCTGAACTTTACGGGAGTTATCTCCTCTCAAAAAATTATCCTTTTGTAAAGAGTATGATATAGAAACAGTAAATATCATGGTTTCAGTTGGGCTGTTGACTTTTTTAAAAATGTAATTCACTGTAAAAAAAGCAAAAACCCAAAACTTAAAAATCCTCCCTAAGAAAACACCTATCTTGTTATACGTGTTAATTTTAATAATGATCTCAACAGAATTCATTATTAACAATTTGTATAAAAGACAATTATAAGAGAGGAACAAAGGAATCACTTAAAGTAAGTCCTGCAGTATCTCACCTAAATTTTCTATCTCCTGTAGCACTAAGCCTAGGGCTCTGCAACACAGAACTGAATTAGACTACAAATGGATTTCTCCAAACCAATTAAAAACCTGAGATCATCTATTCTAACCTTCATAAACACTCTGGAGCACAGAAACCAAATTAGTTGTATCTACCTAATAAATACAAGGTCAGGACAAAAAACATATTAGTGGTAGCAGTTCTACAAAATGCTTTGAGCCACATGCCTAATGCATAAAGTCAGGTTCAAGAAATATGTCACTATGGAAGATGTTTGTAGAGAGAGAAAAGAAGTTCAAGAAGTTCAAAAGTACAGTGCACATCTTGGCACTCATAATGAAATCCCATAACCAGTTCCATGGGAATACAAACCAACAGAGTTTATATTCTCATTTTAGCCTAAAAAACCAGAAATTCATGTCACTGTAGGTAGTCAGATGCATATTACAAAGAATGCATATGAGCAAAGTAACTGCAACAGATTATGGAAACTCTCAACATCTAGAAGAAATGAAGAGATGAATATAAATGGATTAACAGGCTTCTTGGAGACCAGAAAGAGTGTCTCTCATCAACAACTTGATTTCTTTTGGATGTTTTATATTAAATCCAACCATGGAGAGGTGAAGAAATATTTTTTGCAAGATGAATATAGAAGTAGCTCCGAACTGGGAGGACTTTGGAGTCCTCAGTCTCATCTCTTCAATTATTCAACTATGTAACCATGGGCATATCTCAACCTTTCTGGGCTTCTATTTGCTCATCTAGAAAAATAGCGGGAGATGATAGAACTAGATGATGCCAAGACCTCTTGTAGTTCTAAAGTGCCAACCTCCTACTCCTCTTCAATTTTATCAATAACAATCAGGGAATAGTGGCAAAATGAGCCCCCAGGGGACCTCCTCACTTTCCGTTTTGAGCATTTCTAAAATGTACTATGCCAAGCCACACTTTCTTCCCCCTTACTTCATTCCTTGCACAGGACTGATGGTGCTTAGGCTTTTCCACTTTTTCCCCATAGTGAGTATTACAATTGTAAGGAAGGAAGAAGGATTGAGAAAACAGGGGAAAGTTTATGGTGGAAGAGCTCAAACAGCACTCAAAAAACAACACATCATAAGCCTGTCAGAACATGGCCTCCTTGGTCAATTATACTTTCTTTTTTTTTCCCCCACAGAAAGATTTCATATCATGGTGGAGCTTTTCTGGTTCCTTTTTTTAAGGGTACATGAAACTTAAAGCTGATTCTCCCTACTTGGCACATGCCTGAAGGTTCAATATTCAAATAAGCTTGTCCTCTGGAGAATCCCAGAAACAGTCACCCATGTATGGGAAGGATAACCTGTATAGTTTTACTACTGAATAAAAATTAACAATAAGATAAGTTAACTTTTAAAGATTCTGTAGCTCCCTTTGGATAGAAACATAAAGGATACTGTTTAATCTACTTAAGCGAACTGCCTCTAAACCCCTTTTAGGAGCACTCATTTTCCCAGAAAATTGATGTTATTTACAAACCATCCTTATCAATACAAAGCAGGTTCTGAAATACTACACTTTTATTTGGAAACATTTAGTTAGCCTAGTTGGTGTTACTATATTCAAAAACATTTAATGGGTATGAAGTATTCACTATATGCAAGACATTGTCAGTATTATATCATAGAATGTTAGAGCTGAAAGGAATATTAAAGAACATCATCTAGCTTAAAACTCTTTAAATGACACATGATGAAAATGAAAGCTAAGAATGAGGCTGCTGGTGACACACTGGATAGAGCCCTGGTTCTGGATTCAGGAAGATCTGAATTCAAATCCAGAATCAAACACTTACTAGCTGTATGACTCTGGGCAAGTCATTTAACTTCTGTTTGCTCTGTTCCCTCAACTGTAAAATGGGGGTGATAATAATAGCACCTGCCACACAGGGTTTTTGTGAGGATTAAATGAGATAATATTTGTAAAGTACTTAGCATAGTGCCTGGCACGGAGTAGGCATTACTACATAAATGTTAGCTATCATTATTATTATGACCCTGGTCTTCTCTTAGTTGAGGGACCTCTATTACCTTTAAAATATTACAACAATATTTCTTTAAAGAATTTTTTAATTTGGATACTTCACTAAATCATATTGGCTTCCTTTCTCCTCCTCCTCCCACCCCTCAATTGCTCTGAATCAGGGCTTACTATATCAGCATGGGCCAAAGCAACAATTAAGTCCATTTTTCAGAATTATACAAAAGCAAATGCGGAAAAAAATGTGACTATAAAAACTTTGGAATATACTCAGTTTGATACTGTAATGGCTCAAGTTAAGAAAACATGTATATATGTTTTAGGGATATTAGAGGAATGGGGGAGGAGCAGGGAGCAGAGTTATTGGTAAACAGCGAAGAGAATGCTGTTTTTTCATCTGTAAAATGGAGGAGTTGGAGATGACACCCTCTAAGTTCCCTTTCAGCTATAAATTTGGTGATCTATCACCTAAAAAGGAACTTTATTTTTTCTGGGTTTGTTTTTTTATTTTTGAGGGGTCTGAACCTATGAATTCCTAAGTGTGGTGAACTCTCTTTACCAACACAGATATGCAACTTTCTGTAACGTAAAGACCTGCCTAAGATGAGAGAGTAAAGTGATTTGCCCTTGGTCACAGAGATAAAATGTGTAAGAAGCAGCCCTGGAACCCAGGCCAAACAGGATTATATAAAAATACAACCTGAACTTACCATTTTTTTGGCATGTTCTTCACACAGAGGCGTCTGGTGCGTAATGTCAAAAACCGGCACACAACACTGCTGCCCATCTGCAAACTTAGCTGTGCAACTTGAGAAGAGCTGCTGAGAGCGGTTCAAGAGGATATCTGTGTTTTTCAGTGTCAGGAACAACACACAGCAAGCCATGATGGAAAATTCCATTTAATTTTTCTAATGATTAACAATAATAATAATAATTGTGTACAATATATAAAAATATATTTTAAAATAAATATATAACCTATAAATCAAACACATTAAAATATTTAAGAAAATGCACCTCTTTTCATCAGAGAGGTGGGACTCAATTAGTCTGGAATGGTGAACGTGCTATCAGATGTGGCTAATGCATATTGTTGGTTTTTGCTACGTTTTTAAAAACCTTGTTATAAAGAGATGATGTATTGGGAAAGGAAAGGAATATATTCAGAAATGAATGTGAAATTTTAAAAGAGATCAATAAAGTTTCTTTTTAAAAGGAAACATTTTTAATGTGCCTCACAATGCTTGTGAAATATAACTTTCTGAATTTTATCATTAAGACAAAAATTAAGACAGCAGCCCAACTACTAATGTGGGGCGAAATGGTAAAGCTGAATGGCCAGTCATTTATTAGGCTATGTTTCTGGAGGCAGTCCATTTTGCTAATTGTCTTCCAACAAGAGCTTCCTTGAACAGTACACTCTTTAATCAATTTTGTCATTTTGGAAAAACATGGCCAATATGTACATTTCCTTAGAAATTCACGAGTTCATAAAAGCCTATGATGGTAAGAACCTTTCTTCCCAAAAGAAGAATATTTTCACAAGAAATCTAGCTCAAGGGTAAAATTTTATATACAAATAACAAATCCAAATCACTGAATGCCAATCAGCATAAAATTGAATTTTATATTTCACATTTCCAAACAAAAACTCAAATTTAAAGATCTAAGGTGGCATTTTTATGCCAAAATGTTGCTTTAAATTATAACTATTCAGCAATTGGTTCCCCAGAACTAAGTTAATATCCAATACTAAGACTTTAAATACTGCCCAAAGCAACATGGGCACAAAATAAGTTGAAAAAGAAAACTATCATAGTGAAATAGACAATACTAAATTTGGAAAGTCAATATTCTTCTCAGGGTGAACTTATACCCAAAGAAATATCTTTCCATTTTTCACATGTGAACTATCAATAATTTTTTTTAACTTTAGGATAAATGCCAAAGAAACTATAAAAAAAGAGAACTCAAGATTATGAGTAGGAAAAAAAAAAAACAGACAAGTATGAATTTTTTTTAAAACTTTGTTTCCACAGGGCAGCTAGGTGGCGCAGTAGATAGAGCACCACCCCTGGAGTCAGGAGGACCTGAGTTCAAATGTGACCTCAGACACATAACACTTCCTAGCTGTGTGACTCTGAGCAAGTCACTTAACCCCAATTGCTTCACTAATAAAAAAAAATTGTTTCTACCATTAAAAGAATCAAAATAGAAAGCTTGTTAATAAAGAATATAAGACTCCTCTAATAGCTAGAGGTGGAAGCATCCAATGACCTTCAGTTAGCCCCCAGTGGAAGAAATCTCATTTCCTAGACATTGCCTTTCATTCATTCCAGACTACCTCTTCAGTCACTAACTCTAACAAGTGCTTACACAAGTTTATCTCATAGCAAAAGGTACATTATTCAGTAATTCTACAGGACCTATAAGCAGTTGTTGAAATTGTTGAAATGTAATCTATAGATTTTCTTCAGTGAGTAGAATTATCATCACTTAAAAGCTACTTGTATCACTAATAATCACAGAAATGCAAATTAAAGTAACTCTGAGGTTCCATCTCATATCCATTAGATTGTCAAAAGTGAAAAAAAAAGAAAAATGACGAATGCTGGAGGTGCTGTGGGAAAACAGGTATATTAATGCACTATTAGTAGGCTGTGAATTTGTACAGCAATTCTGGAAAGCAATTTGGAACCATGGTCCAAAAGTTATTAAACTGTTTATACCCTTTTGACCCAGTGATACTGGGTCTAAACTCCAAAGAGATCAAAGAAAGAGGAATAGGGTCCATATGTACAAAAAGATTTACTAAAGCTCTATTTATACTGGCAGAGAATTGGAAACTAAGAGAGTTCTCATCAATTGGCAAATGGCTGAAACAACTATGGCATATGAACTCAATAGAATTCTATTGTGCCATAAAACATGAGGAAAAGAATGGGTTCAATGAAAACTGGAAAGACCAGCATGAACTGATGCAGAGTGGTGTGCACAGTATCAGAAGAAAAATGTATACAACAACAACATTGTAAAGACAAACAACTTTGAAATATTTAAGAACTCTAATCAATGAAATGACTAACCATGATTCCAGAGGACCAGGATGAAGTGTGTGAATCATCACTTGACAGGCAAGGTGATGGATTCAGGAAGCAGAATGAGACATTTATAGACATGGACAATATGGGAATTTTTTTTGCTTGACTATGCATAATTGCTACAGGGTTTTTATTCTTTCTTTTCAATTGGGGGGTCATAGGAAGAGAAAACAAATGCTTCTTGTGCTGCCACTATTGAATTTGTTTATTCTGAAATGACTATTTAGTACAACACTTCAGCAATTTCCTTAAAAGTAAGAAAGAGTAGTCAATTAATTCTTTTGGCTATCACAAGAAAATAAGAAGAAGAATGGGTAATATTTATGCTAAACCTATTGCAGTTTTGCAAACTATAATTTTAAACATTAAATAATCCTGATACCAAGTTCGCTTGTCACTGACTAAAGAATGAAAAACTGTAGTACAAATAGGTTACTGCTTCCAACACATGCTGAATTCTAATAAGAGGATACGTTGAAAACAATGTCTGGTGAATGGAAGGGCTTTATTAGTGCATGGTTCCCCCTTCACCATTCCACTACATGGTGCTGGTTCCACCTCCCTCAACTGAGCCCGATTTGTGCTGAGGAAAAAGAGAGAGAAAGAGATTTCATGAAAAAATACATCAAGCATCTCCCAGTAAAGCATTTTAATATAAGGTTGCTATAAAATATAAACTATATAACATAATTAATACAGATATTTCTATTACATGTAATTCACTAATGTTTGTTACATCAGGTTATCTATCAGTTACAAGCTACCACTTAGATTTTGTGCCAAAATACGTAAATGATTTCATCTGAATTATTAGCTAAATGTATTTATCAATAAATAAGAAATAGATGAAGTAAGAGTATCTTAATATCAATCAACTTATAATTACATAATTTTTTTAAATGGATTCATAAGCAGCAGTAAGACAGTGAACAGAGTGCTAGACGAAGTCAGGAAGACCTCCTTCCCCATGCTGCCTCTGACATTTACTAGCTGTGTAGCTATGAACAAACTACTTAACCTCAAGTTTTAGATAGCTCTATAAGACTAGATAGTTTCCAATATGAAATACAATGTTCTATTCTAGCTCTAATAGTCTATGATTTAAAGACAGAGCCCAATGCAAAGCAATACCTTGGTCTGCATATTTGTTTAATTATTAACTTAAGGAGGCTGGTTGCCTGGAGTCACCACTACAAGACCAAGGCAGTTTGTCACATATACAAAGTACCAGCAAAATGATGACTTTTTTTTCATCACCTACTGATAAAACAGCATTGGCAAACCATTAACTTTTCTCAAGTAAGCTGACCAAATTAAGTGAAGAACTATACTGGGATTTACTTTTTACCTGCTTATTATGAACTAAGATTCCACGAATATTAAAAACAACAACTATTACTGCAGTTAGCTTTGTATAAATTCCCATATGGAAGAAGTAGCTTCTGCCTAATATATCTCCTTCATTTAATGTTTATGGGCAAAAAGCAACTTCCCACTAATACCAAACCGTCCCTACTTCACCATATAACTACATTGGCAGGGTCCATACAAACACAATATACTAGAACCAAAGTATATAACTTGCCACAGATTCAGTTCATGCTAGAAGAATAACAAATGCAATCTTAACTTCATGGTTTTACCATGAGCAATGAGCAATTCCAAACTGAGCTGAGCTAACTATATTTTGGGGACTTGTATCAGTTCATTCACTGAATAGAGATAAGACTTTGCTTTACCTAGTTCTGGGTGCAGTATTCCCTCCACAGGCCTTGAAAGCTGTGAGAAGCAAAGAACTAGAAAATTGGAACTGCTGCCACCAGACACAGCACCAAAGGCTGTCTTAGTTCTGTCCTAGCCCATCACATTCATACAAGTACCGAACAGTGATGTATGCCAAGAATTACAGTACTCTCAGGGGATATACCATGTGAATGCACAATTAAAAATTAAGATACTTAGTTTGCATATACTGAAAAAGCTGACAAGAAAACCAAAATAGATCACTCAGTGAATGTTTATAGAGCAGGAAGCATAATCAAAAATTACATTGCTGAGATTTTATTCAAAGAATAAAAGTGTAGGACTACCTACATGTGGCCATAAACTATATTAAGGAAACAAGTGTTCTAGTTTTAGAACTCCAATTTCTGGCTCAAACGGGGGAAAATCTTGGGAATGCTAAAAAGCATTTAAATTGGTAAGTTAAAAGTACACAGTACAGGCCTACATATAAGGAAATACATGATCAAATACCTCTTTCATATGCACATATATATTTATCTATATATCTGTATATATAGATATATATATACAACAAAATTCTACAAAGCAAAACAATTTATATAAAGTGGTTTCAAAGTTTTCTGTATATGTTGTTATATCTAAATGAGCAGTTTATTTATATTCTTTAAAATAATGTACTTATAACTAGACTGCCAAAACTACTAAGTAGCACAATAATTATATGATGAGTCAAAAAAAAAAAACAAACCTTTGATGAATTTTCAAAGAATTGCTTTATATATAAAATTTTACCTTAGGAGAGTTTTGTAGAGACTGAACCAAGTTACCTAGCCATAAGACAATAAATTTGCAATAGACATTAATATATTTTCTGCATATCACAACAAAGGCTAAAAATGGTTTTTTAGTATTTTGGATTTTTTTAATTGGATAACTAATCACAAATGATCAAACTGTTAATAAGCAGGAAGTACATAGCAAAATGACTGTGAAACTTCAAATTTTATGTGAGATTCTTTATTTTGCTTATTTAATGAAAAAAACTACCTTAAAATGTATATCTGATTTAAAGTTATGCATTAATTTACTGGCATAATTTATCACATAGAAATGTGATCAGGGTTATTTTGGCTCTGCCAAGGAGATAAAGAGCTGTACACCACCTATTTTATTAGGGTGCTCAATCTTCCCCTGGGTCTTGGTCACAGTAAGAAACACACAACTAAAACAAAGCTGGAGACTACAATGCTCCTACAGAGCCAAACATGGCATCTTTGCTCTAACCTGGTTCGAGTGCATGCAGCTTTTCGGAGTTCTTGTATCAATTGCCCAGCACATTCTGGTTCTCTACTGGCCGCCTGCAGCAAGGCTTTCCGAAACGTATGCCGGCATTTCTTTTGACGAGATTCTGCCCGCTCCAGGCGGCAGAGGTGCTTATATTTCTGCTGAAAGTAAGTGCAAAGTTGGGTCACCCTGGAGCTCCTGCTATCTGTATCATCATCATCTGACCTGGAAGGATAAGGAAGAGGAAAGAAAAAAAAGTAACTTTGTTAAGCTTTCAACTCATTTTACAGAAGTAAAATTAGGGGAACAGAGAAACAAATTTCATAACTTATACAATGTGCATTAACACCCATCTATCAAAGCAAGCCTTAAGAGAAATCCACTAAATAGAAACAAACCCAGTTTTTCACAAAAGAACCAAACAGTGAAGACACTTTAATATGCCTTCTGAATTTTAAAATGCTTAACCTTCTTAGTACATCATAATTAGAGACTGAACCAATACATCATAGCGTCTTCGACATATTTAATTGTCAAGGGACTTCTGGAAAAGAAAGAAATCCATATCTTTACCTTTACTTACTGTAAATGTCTCAGTAAAAGACATGCCTTTAAATTAAGCAACAGTTATGAGGAAGCACTCAGCATAATTTCATAAAAGAAAGGTCACGATAGAAACACTGCTTTGAATTTTAGCAGTAGGATATCAAGAAGTTGACCTTTTTCAGATGTCTGACACTTTTTTTTGGTGCTGCATTCAACTCCTCCCCTCCTCAATATAAAAGGAGCAATCTTTGAGCTAGTTTTGCTGCCCTAATTCTGACAAACCCTTAGTCTTTGTGGACTATCAATTGACCTGTGATGAAAGAGAGAGCAAGACTATAGGATAGGAACAATTTCAGTTTCTAGGTCTTTTGCATTTATGGGAAGACATGATCAACAGGTTAAGAAAGCATGGGGGAGTTGTGCTCTGCCTCTTTGAAGGGGACTGCCCATATTGGTAAGATTATAGATTAGCTCCACTTTCTTCCATATTACAAAACCGTTGCTATCACTTTAGGATCATAAGATTCCAGAATCTAGCATTTGAAAGATCTTCTTTGTGACATGTGACTCTAATTACAGGTAGGATTCTGAAGACTCATATAGTCCAGTGCAATTCTAATTCAGTTTTCTCTTCCCATCTAGAACTAAAAGCACCATATTTTCTTTCTTTTGTGATACCACAGTGCCCAAAATAGTGCAACAAACAGTATACTACTAGTAATTTTTCGATTAAAGTGGGATTGCAAAGCTTTCAAATGTTTCTCTTTCATAGTCACTGAGTACAGATAAGCAAATCAAAGAATCCACTTCATTCTTTCATTCATTCAACAAATATGTAGTGAATGCCTACTTTGCTATTTGCGATAGGTGCCAATAAAGAAATATAAAACAAGGTTCCCTCCCTTAAGCAACTTACAATCCAGTTGAGGAGAAGCTGGATGTATGCATGTATGTGTATACCCATATATATTTTTAAAACTTACAGATTTGTGTATGTATGTATACACATACATACATATATGAAAACACACACCATATTGTTAAGGCGCAAGAGTAGCACATTTAACTAATAAGTGTTACAGGAAGTCAAAGACAGAGCCTATTGCTGCAGTCTGAAGTGATCTTCATAGTTTCCTGGAGAATGAGTAGTAAGAAATGAAGTGGAGGAGAAGGAAGGTACAGCACAGTATAGTGGAAGACCACAGGATGGGTCTTCTGCCACTTCTGCCACTCATTAAGCTGGTGACCTGAATAAGTCACTTACTCTTCTGGTCTTTAGCTTCTTCTCCTACAAAATGACACAACTGGACAGAGATCCCTTCTAGCTCCAGATGCTATGAGCAATATTGGTTCAAAGGACAGAGAGAAGAATAACCTGCCAGGAACAGAGTTGATGCTGAGGGATAATGGGAAATCTGCCTAAAGAAAAAAAAGGGCTAGAGGCAAACTGTGGAAGGTCTTGGATACTAGGGCTAAAAGTTGTCTGGAAGACAACGGAAAGTCAGTGAAGTTTTTTGAAAAAGAAAGCAACAAGATTAGAGTGATTTATCAGGAAAATTAGTATGACAGTACTAAAGGGGGAAGAGACTACAGGAAGAGAACAACTAGGAAGTTTTGTAGTAAATCTAAGTGTAACGTTATGAGAGCCTGGATTAGGTATTAGCAGGGAGAATGGAAAAGAAGAAATACATGTGAGAAATAGTAGGAAGGAAAAATGGTCAGAATTTAATGGTTGACTAGATATGGAAGAAGAAGAAGCAAAGAAGGTTATGACCTTGAAATAGGATAACTCAGAGAATGGTAATATGAATGATGGCTAAGTAAGTTGGAAGGAAAAGCCGACTTTCCAGGAGGGAGATGAGGATTTTGGTTTTAAGGTAATCATGGAAAAATAAGAGACTGGAATGTGGGTAAGGGGTCAGGGCCAGAATTGGTCATTTGGGCGTTATCAGCAGAGATGACAAGATACAAGAATAGATATTTTGTAAATGGCTAGATAGGAAAGTCAAATGTAGTAAAGGGATATAGTTTACTGAGCTGAGAGAGGATTATGAGCCTAGCTCTGGAGGATTTACTAAACAGGGAGTAGGTTATTTGAAAAGCAAAGGGGAAAAAAATTGGCTGGAGAAGGTGTTTACAGAGTTGGCCAAAGAACAGAGATATAGATATTACATTCACCATTCTAAAAGCAAACTGTGTAAAATACATGATAATGAAAATTATCCCTGTTATATTCCCTTTAAATGACTTAGAAATTCCAGGATAAGAAACATTATGAAAATGCAAAGCATCACTTAATATTCATAAATTAGAAAAAATAAAAGTAATTAGCACTGCAAAGTGGTGATGAACCTACCAAACCAAAATTCTTTCCTTGTTTCTGTAAGTACATAACTCACTGTTAAGTAAACCTCAGTTTACATTCGATCCCCTTGACAAATCACATCACACTCCTACAAATAAACCACAGGTATATGATCCACTAGACTCAGCCATTTAATATTTTTGGGTTGCTTTCCCTCCACATTTGCATACAAGCAGAAATCAAGTTAAAGTTAACAACAAAAGCAAAACTGATGCAGTTAGGAGGATTTCCTTGAGTTAAGTATGCTTGGAGTCTAGAAGAGGGAAGTGGCTGACCAGAAACATTTGCCTAGGGGCTGAGGAAAAGGGAAGAAATAAAGAGTTTAGGAAGGTGCTTTAGGTGATTAGCTAACTGTAACAGCGTCACGTCTTTCAAATTCTGACACAAATTTTTTTCAGTGAAGGGGTAACCAACTCAACAATAATATATAATTGTAGAGAGTTGATTGGGGCACTGAGAGATTTGTGACTGACCTTAGGTCCCTCAGATAGTGGCAGGGTCCCAAGTTGGACTCAGCTCAGATCCTTGGCACTTGGAGATCTCTTCAAAGCTCACTGGTCCAAATTCCCATTTTACAGTTCAAGAAACAGGCCAGGAAAGAGCCTGAAGGTGATTTACTCAAGGACATCAGGTAGTGAATAGCCTGTGTGTGACCCAGGTCTGCCTAGGTATAGCACAGAATAATGAAAAGTACCCAGATTTGGGGTCTGGAGGGCCAATGCCAGTTCAGATCCTAGCTGCCACTTAGTGATCTCAAGCAAGATGCTTTCCCTCTCTGGATTTCAGTGTCCTTACCTGTAAAAATGAGGGGAAGCAACTGCATTTGGGGGTGGGGTGTGTCCAGGGGAGACAAGAAGATGCTGAGGTCCCTTCCAGCTCCAGAGTTATGATCAGTATGTAAACCCTAAGTACCGTTTTCTTCACAAAAGTACTGACTCTCAAGCTTTCCAGTGGTGCTGAGCCAGCCTTGGGATCCGCAAGGCTCCGACAGTGAAACACAAGCTATGACAGGTTCTACTCAACTGGAAAAGCTTTGAGCAGGATCTGAGGCAGATCGTGTTAACTGTCCATCCTCAATAACTAAAAAGAGGTTCACTAGGAGAGCCAGGATATCTACCCTTATGGAGGATTTATAGAAACAAAGACAGAATTGGATAAGAAGAGAAGGCATGAATGGGCTGTATTTTGCATGGACTGAGGAAGTAGCCACATGGATGAGGTCAGAGATCATCAAAGTGTCAAAATAAGTATGGAGACATGTGAGACATCTTGCAATCCTACTTCTGAAGAGACTTTTTACCTTTAAATAAAGCTAATGAACTTACAGATTTCTTTTTACCTTTTCAACTACAATTCAAAATGAAATATACTATCCCTACACAGGCATACTCCCAAAATTGAGATTAAAAAAAAAGTTGATGAAATGCAGACTGCCCACTGAGTGCTTCCTCATCCAGACAAACCCTTCAAATGAATAAACAAATAAACAAAAAATCAGCTTAGGAAAAATTCCTTAGAAAGCCTGATATCTGATGAAAACTGCAAGTATAAATTTCTATAGTGGTTGAAGATCTATTGTAATGTTAATTTTCTATAGATAATACCATACAGACAAGGGTAACATTACCATACAAAACACTACAAAGGAAAAAAAAAATAAGACTGCAGCAATTAGAGATTTACCACAAGAAATCACTTAGATTTTAGAACTAGTTCATGCCTTCCTATTTTCATCAGGAGGGGTCATATTGTAGTATGTACAAGTACATTCTCCTGAGAAATCTTTTACAAACCACATTTTTTCAGTGTTAATATCCCACATATTCAGAAGGTCAAGTTTCACTTTTACATATTGACTATTAGCTAAGAAATTAACTATAAGGGAATCAGCTGTCTACATCAAGTTGAAAGCATTCTTACTAACAGAACTGGGAATACAGTACTGTTATAGAGTAGCCAGTTTTTTAGGCCACTGACCCTATTTCAATTTAACCATCTAAGGAAAACAAGATGACTTCTAAAACTAGTCTCTTATCTCAAGAAGGTTAAAAAAAAATACCTTAAAGACAGGACTTCTATTGCCTACAACACAACAAAAGATATTCAGTATACTGATCTAAGTAAAAATATCTATGAGGAGGTGGGTGTGTTCTATTAGAGCAGATGCCACTAAAATTATTACAGCTTAGTGTGTGGAAACTACAGGATCAAAAAAGAATTTTAGGAATGTACTTTTTGTACCCCTGTCCTAAAAAGTCTAGCTATCAAGAATAGCTTTGCTTTGATGTAAACATCTGTTTATATAAATTCTTTA